GCATTCACAAAGTTTCCTCCAGTAGCTCCAGTATCGATAAGGGCTTGTGCTTTGATTTTTGATTTTCCTATCATACAAGTAACTATGAATGGAGTATCTGGATCTAATCCAAAGCTTGAGGAAGAAGTTGCAATTCTGGCTGTCATGACACCTTCAGGGACGTCTTGTCTGAAGGTTATTCTTTTCCCGAAAGTGGAGCATCATAAGTGCTAACTTCGTGGACTTGAGCATTCTTGGTAGGACATTCATAAGCTTGGTGTCCAGTTTGCTGGCAATGGAAGCAGCGGCCTTCCTGCATTAGCTTCTCAGTTGCAGGGTTCTGATGTGGTGCACGATATAGTCTTGGTGGTCTAAAGCTAGCAGGTGGGTTTGTAGTAGGCTGCTTAGCCTTACTGTGAAAGTCTTGTGGCTTAAAGGCTTGCTGAATAACTCGAGGGACAGTGCGAGCATCTTGGATTTGAAGTTGCTGGATATTCTGATCAATCAGTAAGCACTTTTGTGCAAAGGCATGAAGAGAGCTTGGATTTATCTCTGCTATTAAAGCAGTCTGCATCTTCGTATTAACCTTATGGCGGAGGTCATCAATGAGGGTCTCTTCTGAGTAATCCAGTTCAACAGTGAGTCTCTGGAACTCTGCCCAAAAGGTAGCAAAGTTATCCTTGTTTTGGAAGAGCTTTCTGTAAGCGCGTTGTGCAGTAAAGCGGCAGTCTGGATCACTGAAGACTCTGTCTAGGACTTCAAATATTTCCTCTACAGTTTGAAACTTGTTCTGAGTAGATCGAAGGCATGGATTGATGTGAGAGGAGGCTTTGCCACCTAGTCTGCTTTGCACATAGCCCATCTGAAGGGCTGGAGTAGGAAAATGGTCAAGGTTCGCCTCAAGCTTCATCTTTATGTTAATGCTCCAATCGTCATAAGCTGGCTCTATTCCGTCTGTGAGAGTAGGAGGGTCCGGGATCTTGGTGGATTTCTGGTGTGATTCTCTATTGCAAGTAGTGCTGCTTTTTGACTTCTCATTTTCAAGATATTTCACAACAGCTGTCACGGGTACAGGGCGACTTGGGGTCGGGTCGAGCCTGTGTCGAAGGAACGCGGTCGAGGGCACAGTTAAGGCCTGATGAGTCAGGCTACGGGTATAGAGCGGCTCGGCTCCGTTACGGCACCGAGCCACGCTACGTTCAGGCCACACCAATTAGGCTGAGACACGTAGTCACCTCCGAGTCAGAGGCGGGTTGGTTGCGGACCACCTGTAAGCCTGCAGTACATAACAATAGCTGAGCCCCCATTTTAAGGGGGCTCAGAGTTTAGTCTGTGGAATACCATATTGATTGCTACCTACCAGTCCTAGCACGCTGTCCAAATAACCCCTTACAACAGTAGCTTGTCCTGCCATTGTCTGCTCATGAGCTTGGATAACCTCTTGTAGCTGGCTGATATTGTCATCATATGTAGCCTTCTCCTCTCGACTCTTCTGGAGGGTAGTATGGTAGAGCTGGGTGACATGATCATAATCCTCCATCATCTGCTTTTGGATTTGAAGCGCAGCCTCTCTCTGGGCTTGGCTCCAGGTGCTCACAACTGAGAGGTCTTTAAGCTCCCAAATGCGAAGGGTAGCTTGGTGTTGTGAATCCTCGAGTAGTGTTTCCCTTCTATTGTAGGTGTGGCTTTCTAAGCAGTCCTCATTGCTTGTAGTAGATTGGGTTTCTTGTCCTTGATCTTGACTCCTGTCACGGATGACATGTCCTTGTGCATCACGTGCCATTATAGCAGGCTTCGCTTCTTGTCCTTGGAATTGTCGAGGTCAGGATCTTCTTCTGACTTTGTTTGTATCAGGAACTAGACACATATGTGGTGAAGGCCCTATTATGCAGTTGTCGGCCATACGAGCCACTCAAGAGGAGCGCACTTCCGTCACGGTTATATCCTTGTTGAGGGAGCGTCATGGAAAGGTCTAATTCTGCTGATATAATGTTCTGGGTTCTGATGCTTGAGTGTGGTATTGAGTTGACTTGTGGTTTCTGGATTTGATGTTCTAGTGTTCTGGTTCTGGTTATGGTTCAATGTGTAGTTCTGGAATCGATTCTGGCTGTATTTGTGTCTGGCTTTTCTGGTTCTGTATCTAGATCTAGTTCTTTGCTAAAGAGCAGTGTCTTGGTCTGAGTTTCGATTTCTGGTTCTGGAGGTTCTGTTGCTCGAAGGTTTGTGTTGGTGTCTGGTTTGAGGGTTCTGTTGCTCGAAGGTTTGTGCTGGTTTCTGGTTTCTTGCTCAGGATGAGCTAATGAAGAAATGAGATTCAATCTTATGTTATGATGGTCATAGAGGTCATGATGCCAGTCCAGGAAAAGTAATCTAGATTGAATCTAAAGAGAGAAGAAGAAGAAGAAGAAGGAAGGAAGGTGAGGCTATTCCTCATAACATACAGTTGTCTGAATTAGCGGTTGTAACCTTGGTGGCTAAGGCTACAGCCGTAATCCCCATAACAACCGTAATAACCGTAATAACTGTAACAAGCTGTGAGCTGTAATCGTAACACTCATTACGCCTTGTGAACGTTAACCATATACTACAATAACACTTCTATACTATACCTCTCTGTATTCTCAACTACATGTAGCACAATATGCCTCGGGTGCCATTCAATGAAGAAAGAGAAGCCCAAGTACAAGACATTCTTGAAACTTGCCATCGCGACCCTACTTGTTCCCTCTATTCCCTTGCAAAAGAGCACAACTGCCTTCACTTATATCCACAAATCAAACGCCGTTACAATGGAATCCCAAGTGTTGCAGGACAAGGAGGACAGAATAAGGCATTGAGCAGTGAACAAGAAGCTGCTCTTTTGAAGTATATTGATCAATGTATTAAGTTTGGGTTTCCTGCTTCACATCGAATGATCCGACAAGCTGCACAGTATATGCTCAAGCAAGAAGATAGTCATATACAACTTGGACCACAATGGACAACTTGATTCGTACACTGAAATTCACACCTCCTTCATCTTGTGAAAACTGCTTCACTATCTGCAGAAAGAACAGCAGCAACAAGCAAAGATGATATCCTCACATGGTTTTTCCTACTTCACGACTGTCCTACAAAATACAAAATCCATCATGAAGATATTTGGAATTTCGACGAAACGGGATTTCGAATTGGCTATTCTAAGAGTACACTTGTGATAACTCATATACAACAACACAAGGCATATATACCATCTGCTGATAATCGAGAGTCACTTACAACTATCAAGTGTATAAGTGGCGGAGGTAGATATATTTCCTCTTACATGATTGTTGCCGCTCGAGTTATCGACATTTCAAGTTCATCACCAATATGGCCAGAAGATACAGATTCCTTTCTCTCCCAACCTCACAAAGAATCAGATTTTAGCAATACTCCACTAGATCCAAAGAAGCTATTACGCCATGGAGATTATCTTCTCCAAATCTTCGATATAGAAACTACAACTATAAATCAATGGGAATCACTTCAGGCATTTATAAAAGGAGCAAAGGCAGGTATATTTGCAGGAGAGCTTGCACGTCATGATCTCCATTCAATTTATTCTATATCTCAAGCAAAGACAAAGCGGAAGAGAGAAGGAGAATTCCAATTGCAAAAGGGTGGAGAAGTTACTGTTGCAAATGCTCGGGGATCAATTAAAGATAACAAGGTACAAGAGAAGGAGAAGGATGCACTAGCTCTTATACGTCTAGTTAAAAAGAAGAAGCAAGAAGAGACAAAGCAAATAATAGACGAGCATCCTTATATTCTTGATATTACACAAGCTGCAAAAGAGCGTACAAAGTTATAGATGTGCAACGTTATAGAAGTGGGGCAGATTTGGATTATGTAACTATCTACTTTCTGTTTTTTAGGTACATCCGTATTTCCACCCATAACTACCATGAAAATTTCTTACAACAGGTACAGTCGAGTCTCGATAAGTCGATTCTCAATTCGCGGTAAGTCAATATATTTCAGTGGTCCAAAATCCCCTGTTCACTGCAAAATTACATTCGATAAGTCGATAATACCCACTTATTCTTGATAAGTCGATCAAAAATGGCAGTACGGATTACATAGACTTATCGCGACTCGACTGTATCACATTGCAAGAAATTTTCATGGCAGTTATGGGTGGAAATACGGATGTACCTAAAAAACAGAAAGTAGATAGTTACATAATCCAAATCTGCCCCACTTTATAATGTTGCACATCTATAACGCTGCACCGCACCTCTTGGAAAGAGGTGCGGCCCCCGAAGCGAGAGTTCTCACGGGAGCTGTAGCCGCACGATTACTGAAGTGGAAAAATTTATCAAAGGCCAGTATTTTACAGAGGGAACAAAGGGCTCTATGTCACGCAGGGGGTTACAAAGGGAACGCCGTAGGGAGTATGGCTGGAAGGGGAGAATTACATACAATTTACTAGTAATTTCCCTTGTCATGTCATATGTAAGAGAGCCTTGGCTGAACAGGGCAGTGGGAAGTCACGTTGTAGATAGTTACGTGGTTAAGCTCTCTATTGATATGAAGACTGAACGCTGCCCTTCCGATTAAGGGCTGCGTTCCTACTATATATGTTCTCGTGCGGGTTTCGGAGGGTCTTCCCTCCGCCTTGGCACTATAGCGCACGTGACAGGTCCTGCATGTGAGGCTACTCGTGACAATTATCCCCCCCTTATGGCTCAAGCCCCTTTGAGCCCGAGATGTGAGGTCGGGCTGTATTGTAAGTTATGGGTACTGCTGAGTGGCTTCGGCACTGGCTACAGCCTGAGGAATCAGGCTAGTCTCGCCTGCGCGTGTTGTGGTTGTGCTGTTTGGGTGAATTCCTCCCGCTTTTGCCTCTTCCTTTCTTCCTCACAACCTCAACAACTCCGCCTCCCAGGAGCTCCTCTGTCGCCTTGCTTCCATTGTAAGTGTGCTCTGGAACTCTTCTTTCTGATACTAATCATCTTGAAGGTTCAACCCCCACCAACCTTGCTCTCGCTGCCATCGCGATGCCTCCTCGCAAGAAGGCGGTCGTTGACCCTGCTGGTCTCCTTGGCCCGGCCAAGCCTGCAAGCAAGGCCAAGGCCAAGGCCAAGAAGAACACCTGCAGTCAGGCCGCAAAGGCTGCATTTCCCCCATGCCTTGACGATGAAGAGTCCAATGCCAGGGCTCCCGTTCCTGATGAAGAGGATGAGGCTGTTGTCGCCAGCCAGCGACCTGATTCCTCCCCTGCGGCTGCCCCTCGTGAGGGATCTGTCAACTCCTTTGCCCTTCCTGTGACACCTTCTGTTGCTGCTCGTCGTTCCCACCTCAATGTTGGCACGCCTGCGCAACAGCTCCACGCCAAGTCCGCTGTCGCTCCCGTCGCTGCTCCTGACTTTGCGTCTGTTCTGTCATACTGACATTCGTTGCACTCAGTTTGCTATCAAACTCAAGAGCAAACTTGGAAATCTCCTCCTCAAACCTACAAGTCACTATACATATTTTGGCTTATCACACCAACAACAAGAGCAATACTACTCAACGATTGCTACAACCATCTATGATTCATTACACGTCATCGCTCCTTAGTTACTGGGCCAATATTACCACATAGCATATCTCTACAACCCTCTATGATTCATTACATGACATCACTCATACTACCACATGACATATCTCTACCAACTAGAGGCCTAGGAGCATGAACGATAGCTCTAAAAGCTCCTACGAACCTCTATGATTCATTACATGTCATCGCTCTTTAGTTACCCACAAGATTGGTTAAGTTATGACATAATTTGTCTATGACATAATTTGTCTATGACATAATTTGTCTATGACATAATTTGTCTATAGGGGTACTCTGACCTTGGACCTCCTTTTACTTCCTATAGGCTACGAACCTAAGAGATGGTTCTATGGGATTCTCTTACGTCGACTACAGTTACCAAGCCTGGTTAGTCATGGAAAGTCTTGGAAAATGAGAGAACTACACTCCTTTAGCATAAATAGGATTGCCCTTTCCTTAAGAAAGGGCAAGCAGAAAATACAGTAAATCGACTATCACATACTTCCACGTCTTTTCCAAGCTTCCAAGCATTCATCTTGTTACTCCTTGTTTCTGAAAAGTCAGTGAGGTGTTAACCTCTGACTTACCCCTGAGTTCTCAGACTCAACATTTGTTGCAACTTGTCTGAACCACTTCACTACATCACACACCTGATTGCTGCATTGTGGAATAGTCTAAGCTACGACCCTTTGGCTCTTTTTCCTAAGACAGTGTGTTGTCTTAGTAAATTCATCCCTTCCTTGGGTGGCTAGATCACATCTGGTGCACCCACCATTACATGTTTGCCGTTCCCATGAGAAACTGGTCGTCCCCATGTGCCTGCGTTGCAGCAAACGCATGTATACCCTGAAGCTGAATCTGGATTGCACGCGTCCTAACGTCATGACCCGCTGCAACTATTGCTCTAAGGGACATGGACACTGTCTCCCGGTATTTGCTCTGCCCCCGCTTCGCCTCAGCTTGTGCCCCACCTAACCTGTGTGGCAAGATTCCCAAGTTTGCAATCCGCCGCTTTAATCGCCTTATGAGAGCGCACGGTCAGTTCCTCTTCGCCTGGGAGCGCACTCTGATGAGCAACCGCCTCGTTCGTGCCTGCTCGAAGATCCTCGAAGCGCGCCAGGCCAACTATACCACCTGGGTTACTCGGGGCAAGAATGTGATTCGGCGCCGCCACGTCGTCGGGGCTGACTCTAAGCCCATCAAGATCAACCAGGGACTTGCGCTCCTTGAGATTTGTGACACTCTGCACAGCATTCAGTGTACCTTGCGCCATAGCAATGACCTGGTTAAGACCCTGGTACGATTACCTTCTGCCTTTGTTCCGTTCCTCTATTAACATTTGTAGCACCCTCACAACCCAACCATCGTCAACTGCCACGAATATGAGAGCAGTGAGAGCGAGCCTGAATCTGAGGCTTACCCTGGCGAGGACGACGGTGACTCCGACCTTGAGCATGCCCTTGGCGGTGGTGCTGCAGAAGATGAGGACACTCTCCTCGACAATGATGATAAGGTTGTCGAGCTCGGGGCTGGCGAAGCTGACGGTGCCGTGTGAGCCCCGCTCACCCTACGCATGCCCTATTCTGTGCCCCCTCTATACTTATAGATTCGAGGGAATAGCCCTAAAGAAGGCATGGCCTTATGTGAATTGATGCTTTTTATGACGATCCTGCTGCCTGTTGTGCTGTGACTATGTCCCCCCTGCCTCCTTGCCATCTCTCATGATACGGCTCAAGTAAGGACACGTGAAACGTTGGGTGGACCCCCATTTCTATAGGAAGCTGAAGCCGGTACGCCTGCTTCCCAATAATCTCTACAATCTTAAACGGCCCTACACGCCATTCTGAGAGCTTCCTATTTGGCCGTCGCAACCTTAGGTTCCTTGTTGATAATAGCACTTGGTCCCCCATACTGTACTCTACAGGTTGTCTTCTCTTGTTATGCTGCTTTGTCTGCGCCTGGGTCGCTTTAAACCAGTGTAGAGCTAACGCTTCCCGCTCAACCTGGAGCTGTATCGCCCGCTTCCTTGCTTCGGGTGCATCCTCCTTCTGAGGGGCGTCCACGACACTCACGTCTCCCATCCATGGGTTGAATCCTTTTAAGGCCTGGAAAGGGGAGGTCTTAATTGTAGAGTGAAGTGAATTGTTATATGTGAATTGGGTGAGCAGTAGTAACGCTACCCAATCGTCTTGGAGGCTCGTAATGTAGGACCGTAGGTATTGCTCAATTGTTTGGTTCTGCCTCTCGGTTTGTCCGTCTGTCTGCGGGTGGAAGGCGGTGCTCAAGCGTCACCATATTCGCAAGTAAAAGCAGAGTGCTGCCCAATAATTGCTTGTGAATACAGATCCTCGATCTGACACAATTCCTTCTGGGAACCCGAACTCAGGAATGACATAGCGGACGATTAACAGTGCCAAATCGTGGGCGGTAATCGTCTTGTTTGTTGCAACATAGATAGCGTACTTAGTATAGAGTCGTATGCCTTCTTTGTTATTGGGTGTAGGCTTGGGAGTAAACTGGTAATAAAATCCATAGTGATCTCCTTTCCCGGGCCACTTGGTAGTGGGAGCGGTTGTAGTTCGCCATATGGGTGGTGGCGCTTCGTTACCATTCTCTGGCATATTTGGCAGGTTTTGACGTACTCCTTCACGTCCTTATTCATCCCTGTCCACTTGTACTTATGCTGTAGTAGCTCAAGCATTTTAGTTACACCAAAGTGTCCAGCTAGCGGGTCGTCATGGTGTATCCGTAGCAGCTCTTCTATGAGAGCAGGGTCTCTTGGTAACGGGATCTTGCCATCTTGGTACAAGACCCCGCTTTCGGGGTGTAACACCCACTCTCTCTCTACGCCATTATGGCGAGGATGCCTCTTTTCCATCCTCTGGACTCGGTTCCCAATAAACGGATCACCGTTCTGTAACTAGGTGATGAGCTGGCAGAGGTCGACTGAAGGCTCTTCGTATGGGCCTTCTCCTACCGCTCCAAGCACTGCCCGGCAACGGGATAGGAGAGCCTGTGGCTGACCTGCGCTTCTTCCGCAGAAGGGTAGCGTAAATGTTTCTACCTCGTAGAGGATATCTTTGGTTTCCGTTCACTGACTTGCTTTTGCAAAGACTGCGCGGACTCGAGTATTCTGCTGCGACGCATTGCTCTCGCTGTTTCTAACAGCCTCACTCAACCCCACTGACAGCTTCTGCTGTAGTGTAGGGAGCAGTCCCTGATACGCCTGGTGTTGGCGGTCGACATAGTCTGGTCTACTACGACTCGGACCGTCTGCAGGGTTTGTACGGCCAGGCCTATGTTCAATCTGGAAATCGAAACCTGCAAGGAACTCGATCCAGTGAGCCTGCCGGTTATTGATCGATACTTTCTTCATGAAGTAGACCAAATTGTTGTGATCAGTCCTTACTGTCACTGGAAAATTGCTATCCTGCATGTAGTGGCGCCAATGCTTAAAGGCTGCCACGATGGCGAGGAGCTCTATGTCATGGACATCATACCTGATTTCTGCGTCCTTGAGTTTCCTTGAGTAGAACTCACGAAAATCACAAAGATCACAACTTTTCAAAGCCTCAATCGATTCCAACTCATTTTATATTGCCTATTTAGGCCTTACAGTGGACTACAGTTGTAAGGAAGGCCATCACGTGCCACCACGTGAGGTCCCTTTCATAAGCGGCCCATAGGGCTCGGTAAAATAGGGCACAAGGTGCATAGATAAAAGGGGTTGGAGGCCTCAGAAGAAGGCCTCCAGTCAATAGTCGATGTATCTACGTAGACCTATTGTGCTTACAGAATACGATACCTTCCTGCCTCCTGACCTGGTTCCCTGGACTCCCGTGAGACCTTAGGCTTACGCTTTACAATTCTATTGACTGCACCCATATCCAGCCTACTGGGTCAGGATGGCGAGTATGGAAAGAAGGATTACGCGTGCGACTTCTGGAGGAGCAACGCCAGCAACTGACGCCACTGAGCCAGCTCCAAGAACTACATCCGTAGAAGCTAGCCATTGGACGGCAGGCCAGGACGAGAGCATGGCCTCGAAGCTGGCAGACCTTCGGAAGCGGATGGACGAAGAGAGGGCCTACATCAACACGATGGAGGAAGCCCTAGAGCTTTTCCGAAGAACGCACGGCGACGACTACAACGCCTACCCTGAGGCGGTACGGGACTTCGCGAAGAAGCAAGCCCGGATTCAGGAAGAGAACCGTCGGAAAAGGCGACACCAAGATATTGAGGACGAGTGGGAAGGACCCCAACAAGAGGAGGAGGCAGAGACTGCCTCTACCGTATCAATGGAGGTCACACCAGCCCAGAGGCCAATAGGAAGGGTCAAGGAACCTAAGGTATATAAGGGCGAATCCATCCGAGAGCTCAACGAGTTCATGGCCTCGATCCGCGCTATCTTCCGATACCAACCAAGGGTTTTTCCAACTGAGCAATCTAAGGTGGCCTTCGCTGCCCAATACTTGGAAGGACACCCTATGAAGGAATGGGATAACCGGTGCGCAACCCAAGGAGAAGGATACATAGATCCCTTGGATATCGCTGGGTTCGAAGAGTTTCTTCGGGACCTCCATGTCGACCCAGCCAACCGACAACGCATCGCGGCCTTGAAGTATAACGTCGCCCTACAACGGAAAGGGCAGAGCATCCGCAAGTTCGTGGCCTACCTTGAGGACCTCAAACGCGAGATGGAACCGTATACTGAATCGCAGAAGACTGTCCACCTTCTGACGAAGATTCACCCAGAGATGAGGCAGCGGCTCCTTGAAGGAGGGTACGCAGAGCGTTCCTCTACCCACAGGGACGCTATCGTTAATATCCTGGCGATGTTAGAAATGACAAACCAGTGGGTAACAGAGAGAACTCCTACTGTTGACAAGTCCAACTCAAGGGAAGGAAGGAATACCTCCCAGGGCAGCTTTCCATTCCTAAAGGGCAACTCTGGCAGCCACAGGGCTCCCCAGCCCTCGGCCCAAGGAGAAAGAACACCCTTCTGGAATAGACACCGCCCACAAGACCAGCGGCCGAGAGGACAGGCCCCTACCCACAGTAGGGACGCTAGGCCAATCCCTAGCGGAATCAATTGTTATAACTGTGGCAAGGCGGGCCACCTCGCGAAGGAATGTCGAGGCCCACGCCAACACACAGGCCCAGGGGTGAGGAAATTGGACGCCTACACCCCCAAGAGGGAGTGACTCCCAGCAGAATCCCAGAAGCCTACGGCGCAGCGTCGAATGGAGATCGAGGTAGAGGTGCAGGTAGGGCCCGGATGGCACAAGGCAAAAGCCCTCCTCGACTCAGGATCTGACGCGTCCACCATCCACCCTCTGTTTGCCAAAGAGAAGGGTTTGGAGTGCCGGGATAGGGCACCGCCACGGGCAAGGGCAGTCGATGGAAAAGAGGTTGTGATATATGGAGCGGCCACCACCCAGGTCCGAGCTAGGGACCACTTTCAAAGGGAATGCGTGGTCGCCCAGACCCTCCTTTCCATGGACACCCCAGGAGTAGACGTCATCCTTGGGATGGATTGGATGACGCAGGTCAACCCCCAGATCGACTGGCGCAAACAGACCTGGCGCCAGCCCTTCGATATTGCGAGAGCCGAGGTGGCGGATATTGAAGAATGGGAGGAAGGTGATACTGCCTTCGTCTTGGCCTTAAACACAGATGATAGAGCGCCTACCCAATGCCCGAAGGAATACGAGGACTATATCGACGTCTTCTCGGAGGAAAAGGCAGAAGAACTGCCAGAGCTGGGAAGGAAAACCCATGCCATCGATACTGGGCCCCAGGAACCACCGTATGGGCCAGTATATAACCTATCGGAAACGGAGCTGGCCACGCTCCGTAAATACCTCGACGAGAGCGAGAAGAAGGGTTGGATCCGAAGGAGTGTAAGCCCTGCAGGCGCACCCATCCTATTCGTTCAGAAGAAGGACGGAAGCCTACGCCTCTGCGTAGACTACAGAGGCTTGAATAAGATTACCGTGAAGAATCGACACCCGCTGCCACTGATCACGGAGACCTTGGATCGGCTCCAAGGGTCGAGGTGCTTCACAAAGCTTGATATTAGGAACGCCTACCACCGCATCCGTATTCGCCCAGGCGACGAGTGGAAGACAGCGTTCCGTACTCGATACGGACACTTCGAGTACAGGGTGATGCCTTTTGGATTGGCTAACGCACCTGCAACGTTCCAAGCGTACATGAATGAGACCCTACAAGGGTTGGTTGACACCATATGTGTCGTATACCTTGATGATATCCTCATCTACTCCCAGAAGGAGGAGGAACACGCTGACCACGTACGAGAGGTCCTAGGACGCCTACGCGAGGCGAACCTATACGTGAAGCTCTCAAAGTGCGAGTTCAATGCCAAGAAGGTAAGCTTCCTTGGGTATATTGTCACAACGGAAGGGGTGGCTATGGAAAGCGACCGGGTTGCTGCAATCGCCGATTGGCCAATACCTAGGACCCATCGAGAGGTCCAGGTGTTCCTCGGCTTTGCCAACTTTTACCGGCGCTTTGTAAAGCAATACTCCTCCG